GTGTACATTATCAGTAATAATCATAATTGTTATGTTAAAATTATTTTGTGCCACAGAGGTAACAAATTTCCTTGTCAATTGTGTCTTTTTTTTTTTGAGACAGAGTTTTGCTCTTGTTGCCGAGGCTGGAGTGCAACAGTGCAATCTCGACTCACTGCAACCTCCGCCTCCCAGGTTCAAGTGATTATCCTGCCTCAGCCTCCTGAGTAGCTGGGATTACAGGCATGTGCCACCATGCCTGGCTAATTTTGTGTTTTTAGTAGAGATGGGGTTTCTCCATGTTGGTGAGGCTGGTCTTGGACTCCCGACCTCAGGTGATCCGCCCACCTTGCCCTCTCAAAGTGCTGGGATTACAGGCATGAGCCACTGTGCCTGACCAATTGTGTCTTTTAACTATGACTGCCTTAAAACATTTTTTTCATTCACAGACAATTGTCTTGTTTTGTCTTGTTTTAAATCTTCTTTAAAAGGTAGGTTTATAATCAGCTATAGGACTCTAACAGGTGCACTTAAATGCAAGTTTTCTGATGACTTTGGAAATTGTGACATTGGAATAAAGGAAAAAACTTTCAGAACTCTCATGGATAGCTGAAATGTTCATGACTATCAAACAGAAGAGGAGTTAACTGAATTAACTGAACCAATAGAAAACTGAAGTAATTTTTTTGACCTTTTGCTTAAAACATTGCTGAAAGTTTGTTTTGCATAGTTAAAACTTTTCTTTTAAGCTATTTACAGCTTTTAACAATTGAGTAAAGTATACTCCTGTGAACAAAATTTGGAGCATATTTGTTTCTCTCTACCTGATTTCTCCAGAATTTGGAAACTATTCTGTGAATATTCTTAATTTATGGCATTATAGTTATTTGAATAAGTGCAATAAGAATCTGTTTTCTTTTGCAATAGGCCACAATTAGAGAAACTGGTTATTTTACTAAGGCTTTGACTGGAATGGTGTGCTTTCCTTTAAGGAATCAAACTTAACTTATGGAGCCAATAAAGCCCTTGAAAAAACTGTTCTCATATTTTGTGTACACAGTCCCTGTACAGGGAGTCTGACCTGTGGTAAGTAAAGAATGTCACTTTCTGACAGGTGCAGAATCCCAGGTTTATCTTGGAACCTCAAGAGGAGAGAAAATTCACCCAAATCATAGCTATTTTATGGCACAAATCCATGGCTAGGCTCAGCTTTAAAAAGTCTTATCTGAGATTCCTCCTATGGAACAAAGTTCCATCAAAGCCAATTTAAAAGCCTATGTAAAAACTAATTATTCTTCCTGCACTGTATACAAATAATTAGCCAAGTATAATAATAATAATAAAAAAAAAAGTCCTACCATGATTTGTCTTCAGTAAAAATGGGAAACTGGAGAGAGAAAAATTGTGTTTCAAAACTTCAGTAGACCTGTTGTTAGATTCTAGTCTTGCCTAATTTTTTTTCAATTTATAATATTCTCTACAGTTCAGACTGAATTCCAATTTTTCTTGGCTACAAGTCTTCAAAATAATGCTTTCAATTTTTTTCCTTCTTTTTTCCGTTTTTCCTAATTCGGAGTCACTGAACACTAAGCTGTGCTTTCTTAAGACCCTGTGAACTGAAGCCAGACAACTTGAACTTCAGAAGAAAATAACAGCAAACTATTTACATACATAAGCCACTTTCATAGCTGCCTACTAATGTATGGACTTCAGAGTAATGTGGCCAATACCGATTTTTCTAGGATTATTCTTTTATTTTTTCTCTCTTCCTCCCTGCTATTTTCTCTTCACAGGACATGAGACTTCACAACCTGCTAAAAATGAGCTTTTGGGACTACCCAGCTAGGAATAAACTGTCCTAGCCATGAGAGATCAGATGAAACCTGAGACCAGAGACTCGTTTTCTTGTAAAATGCTTTCTCCAAAAGATTTTTAAAAAGGAAAAGGGGGAAATGTGAAAGGAAAATATCTTGGGCCCACAAAATCACTAAGGAAAACTCAAGCTGGAAACCGCTTAGGGCAAACCTGCCTCCCATTTTATTCAAGGTCACTCCTCTGCTCACTGAGATAGATGCATATCTGACTTACCTCCTTTGGAAAGGCTGATCAGAAACTCAAAAGAGTGTAACTATTTGTGTGTCACCTATCTGTGACCTGGAAGCTCCCTCCCTGCTTCCTGCCTTTAGTTCAAGTTGTCCTGCTTTTTCAGACTGAACCAATGTACTTCTTAACTACATTGATTGATGTCTCATGTCTTCCCAAATGTATGAAACCAACCTTTACCCTGACCACTGTGGGCACGTGTCACCAGGACTTCCTGAGGCTGTGTCATGGCACATCCTCAACTTTGGCAAAATAAACTTTCTAAATTAACTGAGACCTGTCTCAGATTTTCTGGGTTCACAAAAGCAATTAAAATCGTGAGAGAAAGGATATGACATTTTGAGGATAGATCCAAGAAGTTTAGTATATTATATTGGGAGATCCAGATGGGGAAAAAGGCACATAGAAGGAAAGGCAACATAAGAAAGGAGAAAAATTTTTGGACCAAGAAATACTTGAATCTACAGATTGAATGGATTCACCAAGTTCCAGGCTTGATTGATAAATTCACACATACACACACCCTTAGCAATACCCTGGAAAGATTCTGGAACTCCAAGGAAAAAAAGAAGTCTTTACAAACTTTTCCACTCAGAAAAAAGAAATTGCCTTATTAATTATAATGCAAACCGAATCAGACCTCTTGGGCATCAGCAGCAGCTGGAAGTTAGTGGAATATCTGCAGACTTCTGAAATGCATGGACTCCAACTCAAGAATTTATTGACCAACCAAAGAATCATTTAGTTGTCAGACTGATAGGAAGAAATTATTTGTAGGTATATAAGAAGTCAAAGACTAATGCCTACATTTTCCCACCTTAAGAAAATACTTAAGAAGTGACTCTAGCCAGGTGATAGATTAACCATAAGAGAAACCACAAGATGATAAAGAAGGGAAGAAATGGTAGTGATACAGGAGCTGAAAAGAAATTATTTAGGCAGTTAGTGAGGGTAAGAGAGTCCTCGGTGAGGCTTCACTCAAAACCATTTCTTTTCTAACAAACAGCAGCCAGTAAAATCGAGCTGCAGACATAGATAAACAAGCTGGAAGCTTGCACAGGTGAATGATGGCAGCTGTGTCAATAGGAAAAGCCTACCTGGGGGCCAGGCATGTTCAACATGGAAGCTCCATCTTCCATTTTCTTTGTCACTACATGTGCAGTAAAGAAACAGGGAACATGGTGCCAGCTAGGTAGAAAATTCATTTGCATAATAAAAGATTAGGGTGCAGTGGCCAGCCTCTTCGGATGCTATGCAAATGGCACACTGGTCCAACCAATTCTCTGCACCCTATGTACATCAGACACCACCTTCTCAAGCCCATCTGTAAAACCAGCCGCATCTTGCCAGGTACCAGGAGATCCATTTGGAACCCCCTCCCGCTGCACAAGGGAGCTTTTCTCTTTTGCCTATTAAACTTTCACTCTTAAACTCACTCCTTGTTAGTCTGTTTCCTTGATTTCTTTGGTGTGAGGCAATGAACCTCGAGTATTACCCCAGACAAACAACACTGCTTCAGTAGTGAGCAACAAAATGTAGAACAAATAAGTCAATATAAAGACATATATAGATGAAATATGTCTAGATAATCACAGACTGAGAATGTATAAGTGCAGATATGAAACAACGTAATAGCTAAATATATGAAGCAGAACCTGTAAGAAATACAAGAAAAATTTGATTAAATAAAATTATATTGGAAAACTTAAATTTTTTTTCAGAATTGGATAAATTTGGTATATAGCAAATGTGGGATGGCACAGGAATTAAATAATACAATTAATAAATGATGTGGTATCTATGTGTAAGATCTAACATCCCTCGAACAACAAGAAAACATGTTTTCATACCGATAGAATATTTACAAAAGTCAGTCATATTTGACCAAGAAGAAAACCTTAACAGACTCTAAAAACCACATTCCTTGATTTCAAGCCAACAGATTGAAAACAAATAATGTAAAGATAGCAAGAAACCATACACAGAAAAAAATGTTTTAAGTTATAAAATATCTATAGAGCAACGAAAAAGAGAAGACTTTTTACCAAAATCCAAATGACACAGTGGAAATTACTCAGAAGAAAATGTGTACCTTAATGTTTTCATAAAATAATATAAAAATAATGTTAGATTTCATTTCAAGAAATTTTAAAAAAAGAGCAACAAAGTCAATTTTTAAAAATTAGAAAGACGGCCGGGCACAGTGGCTCATGCCTGTAATCCCAGCACTTTGAGAGGCCGAGGTGGGCAGATTACGAGGTGAAGAGTTTGAGACCACCCTGGCCAACATGGTGAAACTCCCTCTCTACTAAAAAAAAAATACAAAAATTAGCTGGGCATGGTGGCGGGCGCCTGCAGTCCCAGCTACTCTGGAGGCTGAGGCAGAAGAATCACTTGAACCTGGGACGTGCAGGTTGCAGTGAGCCGAGATCGCGCCACTGCACTCCAGCCTGGGCAACAGTGAGACTCTGTCTCAAAAAAAATAAAAAATAAAAATAAAAATTAGAAAGAGGATTTATAAAGACGAAAGCTAAAATTAATTTAATAGAAAACAGTAGAATGGACAAATAAATACAAAATCCTTTGCAAAAGATGAAAAAGATCTATTCTGATTAAGAAAAAAGACTGAGCAAAAGGAATAAAATTAAGAATTCTGTAGAAAACTACAAATGAGGAGAAATTAAAATTATAATAAGAGAAACCCATGGCAACAAACTGGAATCCTAAAGAAAATAGCTGATTTCCTAGTAAAAATACAAATTACCAAAATTGACTCTGAAATAAGGATGGTATAAATAGATCAATTAGCACAGAAAAGTTTGGAATTGTCCTTAAAAGTCTTGCATTGGGAAAGATCCCACGATTACATGGGTTCACAGCTGAGTGTTAGTTGACTTTTTACTGAATATTTTTTTTTCTTGGTTTTTAAAAGGCTTTACTGGGGAAACGTACAGTGGTGAAGACCGTCCTTGGAGGCCCCAGGACGCCATCCTCCATGTTGCTGGGCAGTCGAAGTCCCCCGGGGCCCCTGCTCAGAAGCGTGTCACCAGTCTCTGCGGGGGCCTAGTCTGTGACTCCTGAAGGGGCCCATCCAGGGTAGCCACTACCCCCCATTCCTTGCTGCTGCTGCTCCTGTTCCAGGTTCCACTGCAGGACCTGCGCTGGTTGGCAATGACTTGCAGTATGCCATTGAGGAAGTTGCCCTGGGGGATGAGGCCGATGAAGATTTTCTTCTCAGAGGAGTACAGGAGCATGAGCACACGGATCTCGCACGATGCTTTGTAGGAAAAGTGCACTCACCCGGCGAAGCCATTGTCCATGATCCGGCACAGGCTCTTCAGCGTCTCCAGGTCCTTGGTGAAGTGGAAGTGCACCAGGCGCTAGTTCTGCAACAGCAGCACCAGGGTGGTCAGCAGCTGCTGCGGAATGAGCTGCATGTACAGCTTCCTCGGCCACTGCTCGGTCCTCAGGATCTCCCCCGGTTCACGTAGACGTGGGACCGCAGCCACCTCTTGGACCGACTGTTGGGATCAGGCCTGGGTTCCTGCCACTCCATGACGCCGCTCCACGCCAGGAACTTGTTGTTGACTGGGCCTGAGTTGACACCACCAGGTCCCACTGCCTGCTTGTGGGTAGTGATGATCTGCTGGATGGCGCTGACGAAGCCGCTCTGGTCGTAGGGGATGAAGCCCATGAAGATCTTGGTCCTGGAAGAGTACAGGAACATGAGCACGCACATCTTGCAGGGGGAGATGTGGGGAAACGACATGCAGCCCGCGAAGCCGTTGCTCATGATGCGGCAGAGCCTGTTGAGCAAGCAACAGGGGTCTCAGCGTGGCCATCAGCTGCTGCGGGATCAGCTGCATGATCAGCTTCAGCTGCCACTGGTTGGTCTCCAGGTTCACATAGGCTTGGCAGAGCAGGGCGCGCTTCAACTTTACAGTGGAGTCGGAGTAGAGTCTGCGCTTCTCCTGTCACTCGAGGACGCCGCTCCAGGCCAGCAGCTTGTTGCTGAGCCGGTGCTCACTCACGGTCAGACCCCTGAGGGTGAGCCCAGGTGAGGAGGGACCGGTGGCACCCAGCGCCCCGAAGACCCGAGCACTTTTCATGGGAGGGGCCGAGCAGGCCCGGAGCTGCAGAGGCTGCGGGCCTCGGGGGCTGGCCGGCCAGGAGCGCTAGCTGACAGCGCGCACTGCTAAGGGCCGCGCGGGGCGGCCGTGACCCCCTAGGGGGCTCCTGGCTCCAGAGCGGTACGGGGCCCGGCGCGGACTGACCATGGCCGGCGCGAGCGAGGGGCGAGCGGGCCACACAGGGGGCTGCGGGCTCCATCGACTGAGGGGCGCGGGCTCGCGGCTTCGCGGGAGACGGGCTGAGCTGTACCAAGCGCGGGAGACGCGCCGCCGGAGAGAGGTAGCCGCGACCCAACCACTGCAACTTTTACTGAATTATAATGTTATTTTAAATGGTCAAGGCCTAGAAAAAAAAAAAGGGACTTTCCTCGATTCATTTCATAGTTTAATATTAATATAGTTAACATAGTTCATCTAATCTGCCAATGATTATAAAATTCACATTATGTACCATTACACTTCTTAGCACTTAGAATATTTATTTTTAAGTTTACCGAAAGCACTGCTTTGGGCTTTTTTTGAGACAGAGTCGCGCTCTGTCGCCCAGGCTGGAGTGCAGTGGCGCAATCTCCGCTCACTGCAAGCTCCACCTCCCGGGTTCACGCCATTCTCCTGCCTCAGCCTCCCGAGTAGCTGGGACTACAGGCACCCGCCACCACGCCCTGCTAATTTTTTGTATTTTTAGTGGAGACGGGATTTCACCGTGTTAGACAGGATGGTCTCGATCTTCTGACCTCATGATCCGCCTGCCTGGGATTACAGGCGTGAGCCAAAACGCCCGACCTCATTCTTCTGCATTTATAAAAAAGGAAATAGCTTCATGCTCAGAGTTTTGTTCTTTTGGATCACTTTTCAAGTCAAAGCTGCTGATGTCAGCGTTTCTCTGTGTAATACTGTCCTCTGCACCAAAAATCATGAGTAATATGACCTTTTCCAAAAGAAGCGTCCATTATTGTCTCTGTGATTTTTTCCAAACTTCTGACATTCCGTTGGCAAGTTTTGATGCTGTAGCTTTCTTGTTATTGCCAGCAGGTGTCAATGGAAGGTTCCAGGCAAGTTCACACAGGCACAGGTACAGGCACAGGTGATGATAACTGTCATGACGGCCCTGGCCAACGGCAATCATCCGCCTTATCCTGATTTCAGAGATGTTAAAATGTGAAAAAAATATGCATCATGGAATCAGTGAAATATAGTAGTACACTACCAGAAAATTATAGATTAACCTCACACATAGAGTACAGGCACAATCATCCTAGATAAGATATTAGCAACTGGAACCCTGCAATGTGTCTAAAGAATAATGACCAAATACCCAGACCTTGGTATTTGAGAAGCAGTTGGGCAGTTAACAGGAAGAGAAACTGAGTGAAGGTAATGAAGCCATGCCTAGAACATTGCTGGTGGTGTCACCTTTTTTTTTTTTTTTTTTTTTTTTTTTAGAAAAACAGTATTTGCCTGGAGACCCGAGTTACAATCCTGGCTTAGTCACGTACCATCCATGTGACTTGGACCAGTACAAGTCATTCCTTGGTCCTGTGTCTTCAAGTAAAAGGAGAACCTCCCCAAGGTTCTTTTCAGCTCTGATATTCAAGGAGTCCATGAGTCTAGGACAGTTTCTCAACTACCAAGAAGAATCCATCTCAGGTTTTTTATAGGATCTGTACAAGTCCAACCTTGGTTACTCAGGTAGAAAACTGGTCACACTGCCCAATAAATCCTCCTGCTCTCTAATTTCACACAGTGCAGAGTCTAATCAACAGCTTGAATAGAAATAAAACATTACCAGGTTCCCCTCCCCAACCTATTTCAGACAAATATGCATGTCCTGGCTCCTTTCTGAACCCAAGCCTAGGTAGGCCTCCTACGCAAATCGCCTTCAGGGAGTCAACAGGCAGAGCCTTGAGCCTGTTTCTACTGCCACCCTGCAGCTTCTCACGCACTCAGACACTCTGTTCCCGTGACTTCTTGATTCCCCTCTTGATATTTCTTTTATTTAAAATAAATTTACATATATTTGTTTACTAAAAAAATTAAATGGAAAAATATACATAACCTCAAATTTACCATTTTAACCATTTTTAAGTGTCCGGTTCAGTGGCATTAAGCACATTCACATTGGTGTGCAACCTATTTACTTTTTCCATTAACAAAATTATATGCCCTTAGTAACAAATGCAAATATTTTCTAAAGGTATCAAATGAAAATTGAAGGTCTCCCAGTCGTTCTTTCCTAAGGAAATTATTCAAGTTTCTTGTGGATGCTTCCAGCAATTAATATATATGTGTGTGCTGTTTTGTATTTACACAGGCAGTTTTCATTTTTAAAGATTTATACACATTGTGTTGCCTCTTGCTTTTTACATTTAATAAAATATTTTGGAGCTGTTTCTATGTCAACACACACAGCTCTATCTCATTCTTTTCATTGTTTTTAAATGCGTGATTATGAGATAATTTAACAGGTATCCTATTGTGTTATTTTTTTTTCAGTTTTTCTGTGGCTTTTTTTTTTGCTACATTTGGTTTTTCTATTACAAATACCATCCTTGAAAATACAATTTGTCATATATTAGCTATTACATCTGCAGTCTCAATTCTTAACTGTGGGATTGCAAGAATAAAGGAGACGTGCATTTGTGTCCTTTTGCTATATATAATACAACTGTGATTGTAAGTAGAGTGCTTTCCTGAATTCTTTGTAGCCAACTAGTCAGAGGTGAGGGTTACCTGGGGACCTCAAACTAGCAGATACTGCCTGAAGTGAGGGCAGTTTGGCCTAACTCTGGTAGTTGGTGTTAGAACTCATAGGGAAGGAGAATCTCTAGGCAGAAGTTGGGACTGTGAGGTCCAGTCACCCCTACCTTTGGGGAGAGTCTAGTTCTATGACACAAAGGGTTAAGAAAATTAATTTCCATTCATGCTCATTACTAAAGACTTGAGCAACTCTGTGAATTAGCAAATGGACTGTCCTTCTGGAATGTTCTTTGATATCTCTGTTCTAAAGACTTGGCCTGATAGGCTACTTCTATAGGCCAAGGGAAGTTAATAGTTTCATCAAGGGTTGTAAGTTATTCAACTTTTTGTCCCTCTCTGAGAACCTACAAGAGTGCTTCCCTATGATAGATAATTAAAATAATAATAGTAATAGTAGTAGTAGTAATAATTATTTTATTTTATTTTTCTTACAGAGATGGTGTCTCACTTTGTCACCCAGCCTGGAGTGCAGTGGTGCAATCTCAGCTCTCTGCAGCAATGACCCCCCAGGCTCAAGTTATCCTCCTGCCTCAGCCCCCCAAGTAGCTGGGACTATAGGCATGCACCACCACACACAGCTGTTTTTTTTGTTGTTGTTGTTGTTTGTTTTTTTTTCCAGAGATGGGTTTTGCCATGTTGCCCAGGCTGGTCTCAAACTCCTGAGCTCAGGCAATCTGCCCTCCTTGGCCTCCCAAAGTGTTGCGATTACAAGCATGAGCCACCACGCCTGGCCAGTAACAATAATTTAATAGAACTCAGGAAGGTCCACATATGGTCAAAGGGCTTGAGAATCACCTATCTTACGGGTTAAAAAAGAAAAGGTCAAGCCAAAACAATAAAGATGGAAAGGAAATGTGATGACAGTTTATGAAATCATGGAAAGTGTAACGGAGGCAACCCAGAGCTGGAAAATTTAACGCAAGCAGTATACACAGTGGATAACAGACTGTGAAATAGTGCAAACTGCAAATATCAAAAGGGTTTAAAGGAAACTCAAGAAATACAAACTAAAATAGACAATTTATTAAGGAAAAATAAAGATTCAGGAAATTTATCATAACTTTCTGAGGTCATAGAGCAGAATCAAGCGTTTGTACAATATGTGCTTAGGATTCACTCCAGAAGTAGAGGCCTCAGAGGAGATAAATGGCAATGACTCAGTCTCATCTCCTGAAAGGAGATTACACCAGACTTGGCTCAGCCTGCTTAGGATACGCTGAGGCTCATTCAGTTGCCCAGTCATGTTGGAACTCTTTGACCTGCTCTCAGTTGTCAGTTTACACACCCCAAAAGAAATCATTTTAGTCTTTTCTCTGGGATCCCTGACACATTTCCATTTCTACTGGCACTGTTGTGTACTCTGGTAGGGAGGGAGACTGAACAAGTCTTGGCAATTTGTTATTATTTATTAAGGAGTCCAGCTCCAGGTCAAAATCCTATGTGTGATCTTTCAGGCCTGATCATAAGCAATTACTGGGCTTTGTCTGGCAGGCCTGATTGAGGAGAAGCTGCCTCCCCATACCACACTTGCACTGTCAGCGCATTGTAGCTTTGTGAAGGGAGTTGCAGTCAAGAACTCAGCCCTTCTTCTCCCCACCCCAACCAGCCATGCATATTCACAATCCTGGCCCTGGTGCCTTCATTCACCGCCCTCCTTACTGGGGGCTTTGCTGAGGCACTTTTTCCCACTTTGACTCAGTACCTTTCTACTCCTAGACCTTCTCCCCCTGTCTCTCAGGTCTATAAAGAGGCAGGAGCCTTTTGTTCTGGGCTCCTTAACAGTGAGACGATTCCCTCCATGTGTACAGCACTCACCTGAAAAGTTCTCAAAGTACGTACATTAACAACCTGAGAAGTTTTCAAAGTACGTACATTAACAAACTAAATGCTCAGCAATAAGGACTGTGCAAATAAATTTTGGTACATTTATAAGATATAAGACTATGCAGATATTTTAAATGATAACAGATATAAAAATACACTGATTACAGGCAGTTTAAAGCAACATGTGTTCTGTATTTGCATTCATGTAAAAAAAGTATACAAACAGTATAGGTTATGAATGATCACCTCCACAATATTACCAGTGGTTATCTCTGGGTGGTAAAGTAATGCACGTTTCCTTTTCTTGCCTATCTATATTTTCTAATCTAGGATTACCCAACCAGGTATTATTTCTGTAATAAGAAGAAAACAATAAAAGTTATTATTTTTAATATACATACTCCTTAAGGGGGCAATTTGATATCTAGGAATTCATCTTAAGGAAAAAATTGTAAGCATGCATGCAAGATTTAGCTATAGTCATGTTTATTGCAAGATTGTTTCTAATAGTGAAAAATTTAGAAATAACTCAATTTCTAGTGTTAGGGGATTGGGAAAATAAATTTTAATATATTCATAGATTATACAACCAGCTAGCTAAATTAAATATTTAATGCTCTTGAAAATGTTCATAATATCTTAATAGGTCAAACAAAACAAACAGGTTACACAACACTGTATTTTCATACCCTTTGACCCAGCAAATTCCACTTCTACGAAATACCAACACAAAGAATCAAGTGACACAATCTTGATTGTGTCATTTCAGTGAAAAAAAATAGAAGCTACACAAATTTTATCAATGGAGAATGCCAAAACAAACAATGGCAGATTCCTATAGTGGACTACTAACAACTGTTGGAAAGAATGAAATAGATCTCTACGAGTGAACATGGAAAATGTTCTGATACATTCTTAAGTGAAGACA